TTAATTTACTTTCTCCTTAGACTCTTTGTTCTCATCTAAATACTTTTTATTCTTTGACCATTCTGACACAACTGATGAAATTTTCTTATCATCCGTTCCAAACAATCGTTGACACAAACCAAAAATATCATGATAATTTTCAAATTTTCTACAAGTTTGCAAAACCTTAGCATAGTAATCAGCCTCTTTATGACCAGATGAAATTGCAATATCTACCAATGATTCAACAGCAGGCAACATAAGCGCAGGAGCCGTTAACTTGGGCCTGCTAGCCAAAATAGAAATGTTCTTTAATGCCAGGTTCACCTCTTTATCTGTATTCCCTGTCACTTCTTTCATCGCCGATTCGATATTCTCCAGTATCATCTCTTTGTCATCCTTTTTCTTCTCTACAACACACAAGCACCATAAAAAGACTTGAAACTTACATGCTTACTCATACACTGATACCACTAAGCTGTAGACGAAGCTCACCTCCATCCTTCAATTCTTTAAACACTTCACCCTCCCGAGATTCTACAGACTGAGATGTCGAAAGGCGTGAACCAGGCTCTACCAAAATAGATGATCTAGCAATTGGGGTTGACGTTGGAACCCCAGCATCGTTTGCCATGCAAATAGCAACATGTACCAGGAGACGAATGTTATCGATTTCCCTTTGCTTTCTAACTAGACTCAACACCACCTTCGCTTCCTCCCCTGTGAGGCTTTTGAATTCATTCTCTAGTTCCCCCAAGGAATATCTACTGAGGGGATGTTCCTTTTTCAATCTTGCCAATTCCCTCTCATCCTGAATCTCCACATCCTTTAACCTCAATGCTAGGGGTAGCAGATTCTTGCCAAGCAGTGAGTGTTTCTGCTTAAGAACTATCGACATCTAGTAAATAGATACGCAATGTAGTTAAATTTAATACCACATTATAAAACATGAAATAAAAATATCTACAAACCAACCATAATGCGCAAATTATAAACCAACTCAATGAAATTCATGCACACAGCAAAAACTGAGCCATACATTCAAAATATATTGAATCACCCTCTAAATATATCATTAAAATGAAATTAAATAAGATAATTATCCAATTATCGTAAATAAGTATACACAATATATAACTATGACAAGCTTGCCTAACCTCAAATCCTCTACACTACACATACATTTAGTGCACATTACCAGAATACAAAATATTATACTAATTTACTCCCAAAATAATACTAAGTGGTATAAACAAAACCCAAGACAAACTTGCTACAATTACAAAATGCACTAGAATCCACTAGATGCACAATCAAATGCAAGAAAAAATTTATAAAGAACACATTTCTCTAAATTACAGATGACTCTCGATCTCTCGAAGTTCAAGGAACCGCAAGAAAAGTTCGAGAGATCGAGGAGTTCGAGAGATAGAAAGTGAATAAAATCCGGAATTTTCAGTCCTGATCATCATTGTTCTACTATTATAAATACCGGAAGTATATGTTGATAATGTCATTGCACGTTTTCATTTGTTTTTACAGGTAATTCATTTGATTTCAACAACAATGATCGTATTTTGAACAAGAGGCCCAAGGGCCTTAACGGTCACCTGAGTATAATACAACAATTTAGAGGATCCATAGAGTATAAAATGAACTGAAAGGTGAAGCTTTGTTGCCCAAAAGCAAGAAAAATAGAGTGATCAGGATCAAAAAAATAATTAGTCTAGCATTCATTCACAGTTCATAAATTAGGTTCTAATCTGTTCCTCATTTAACACTTTCACCATACAGTAAATTAACAAAATATCACTGCTTCTGTACCATCTTAATTCCTTGTTGAAATCTCTTACATTGGCCTCTCTTGATCTTTGATGAACATTTAATAAGACAAGTTATTTTTGTCTCATTTTTATTTATCTATTACTTACAAGTCTACCTGATCATTAAAACTATGAAAGTACTTTTTGTATTATACAATAAAAATTCTTGCATAATTCTCTTATTCTATTAACCTTTCAAGTACATTATTTACAGTGATTAATTATCAAAAGTAAATGGCAAAGGGGAATAACTCCTCTCGGTAGATTACAAATTAATAGTGCCCTAGCTAGGACCAGAACACTTGACTAAATGGTCCAGCTGTTCAAATATCTGGTAAAAATACCCTTCCTTATTAAAACTTTTACTCTTTTTGCCTCTGATATGCCCAGGTGCAGAGAAGATTTTTAAAGAAATAATGCATTTTTACTACAGATTCACTATATTATCAATAGACCCCCCCCCCCCCTTCATCAAGAAACATCAGAGCCTCTCACCCTGGGACCAAAAGTTTGCACATCATAAGTAATCACTTTGTTTATCTGCTTAACACTGAGGAGCAGACAGGATTATTTAATAGAAATAATGCATTTTCACTATATTATCAAGAGCCCCACCCTTGCACCAGCACATCTGACCCAGGGGTCATGCAATTCACTACTCTGGAAGAAGCACTCTTGCTCATCATAACTATACACTAGCTTCTTTGCTTTTTAACCAGAAGCAGAAAAGAATGTTTTCAGAAAAAAATTGCTTTTTCACTATATAATCAATAGAGCCGCCCCCCCCCCCCCTTTTTCACCAGAACCCTTGACCCTGGGGCCATGAAATTCACAAGTTTGGAAGAGGCATCCTTGCATATCATAACAATGTACTTAGTTTGTTTAAATAATACCCAGGGGCAGAGAAGAAGAGTTTTAAAGAAATAATTCACCTTCACTCTAGGATCTATATGGCCCCACCCTAGCACCAGAACCCCTGTCCCTGGGGCCATGAATTTCACAATTTTGGAAGAGGCATCCTTGCTTATCATAACAATGTACTTAATTTGTTTAAATAATACCAAGGAGCAGAGAAGAAGATTTTTAAAGCATTAATGCATTTTCACTATATAATAAATAGAGCCATGAAATTCACAATTTTGGAAGAGGCATCCTTGCTTATCATAACTATGTATTTAATTTGTTTCAATAATACCCAGGAGTAGAGAAGATTTTCACAGAAATAATGCACTTTCACTATATGATCTATATAGCCCCGCCCTAGCACCAGAACCCCTGACCCTGGGGCCATGAATTTCACAATTTTGGTAGAGTCACTCTTGCTTATCATAACTATGTATTCAATTTGTTTCAATAATACCCAGGAGCTGAGAAGAAGATTTTCAAAGAAATAATGCACTTTCACTATATGATCTATATAGCCCCGCCCTAGCACCAGAACCCCTGACCCCGGGGCCATGAATTTCACAATTTAGGTAGAGGGCTCAATGCTTATTACAATCATGTGAACAGTTCGACTGCTTGATGTCGAGGAGTAAAGAAGAAGATTTTTAAAGATTGCATTAATTTTGGTGGTTTTAGCCCCACCCCTCAGGCCCCAGGGGGGCAGGGACCATGAAATTCACAATTTTTGTCCCCCTTCACCCACAGATGCTATATGCCAAAATTGGTTGAAATTGGTTGAGCGGTTTCAGAGAAGAAGCTGAAAATGTTTAAATGTTAACGCACGACGCACGATGGACGACGCACGACGACGGACAAAAACGGATAGCAATAGGTCACCTGAGTGACTCAGGTGACCTAATAAATAAAACGATATCTTTTAAGTTTCAATATTTATTTGTTCTCATTTCATGATTACATGAAACCTGAATAACAATCGTCGGTGTGGCTACCCCACAGGCTTGATCGGGTCCTTCACCATACTTCTCGTATTAAATCGGTATTTAATTCTTGAGATAGGATTTCTTGTGCAATGTTTGTCACACTGGGATTATGTAGACTCTAATAAAACTTTATAATCTACGGAAAATTATTGACACGTCTCTTAAATTATTTTCTAAAAATTATCGTCTTGCTGTCAAGTCAAAATAGGTTGTGAAGCAATTCTTTATAATTTACCAATTATAGTAGTCAAGGCCGTACGTATAGGTCATTTTTTTCCCCGCCAAATTTGGTGTAACATAGGGAATTGGAGGGAAGGGGTTAAATCCGATACCCCCCGGGGAAATATATGGGTACGGTTTAAAGGGGTCAGTGAAAACGTTTGATACCCCTGGAAATTCCTAAGGGTGCGACCATTTCCCGCCATTTACCCATACAGTATTATTTTGGGTAGTTTTTGTTAGCCTGGAATAATTAGATTATTTTTTGTGCCAATATGTTAATTTGCTGTCACTATAGAAAACGAGTATCGCACGAGAGAACTTTTATCCTTGGAAGTAGATGAAATTTATGAGGGATGGGGAATAAAATGGGGGCTGCTTATATGAAAAGTTTACTTAGTTAATCACCCCCCTACAACGGAACAATTTCCGCTATTGGTTGCAATAAATTATTCAAGGGAGTGATATTTTTTTTTTACTATGTTGAAGCGTGTGATGTCATCTTATATAGTGACTTTAATAATTCCGTTAATAAAACAGTGTTAAAAACTTTAAATTATTATTAACTTATTATCAAATTAATAGCACAAATAATACAAAAATCATGTTAAAATAAAAATCCAGTTAAAATTATAAAAATTTAAAATTATGTTGCTAATTTTAAAATCAATTTTTGATACAATTTCTTTTATTCTGAATTGAATGCATTAAGTATTATTTGAGAGATGCTTTTGATATGATCACAATTAACTCCCTTTAAATACCACGTCATCATTGCCTGTAAACTGTGATTGACTGTGAACTCTAAATTTGTTATGATATCCATAGGCCACGTCATCAGTGACTGTAGACTCCCTCGACTTTAAAAAAAAGCGTTATTGCTTATCACGTGGTATGCCGTAAACAATGAAGTCAAAGAATTTTCACAGTCACTTGGGTCAGCTATAAAAAGACGAGATTTCTGGAGACACTTAAAGGTGCGCGTTCAGAAATAGATAAGGGAGGACCTTTGTCAGACGAATTAAGCAGTGCGCGCCACTGAACCGTGGCAAGTGCATTTTTTGAAAGACTGGATTTAATAATGTGACGGACGATATAAACATTGAGAAGGTTCTTGTTCCTAATAAGACATGAAACAAAAATTATTCATAGAATTTTTATATGCTTTTCAGGTCACATATACAACGTATAGAACAATTATGATAAAAGATTACATAAAATGAAAGCAAGAATAAGATCACATTTCTGTATAGTACAATAAGTAAGTTAGATTTTTAGACTTCATTTTTTTTTCAAAATGTGAAAAAATACAGCATACATATTTATTTTTCAGTTTATTTTCTACTTGTCATACCTTCAAACCATTTCGTTTACACAGTTCTCCCACAGACGACCTAAGCCAATTAGGTGAAAATAACAGAGACCAAAATATCCTGGTTTATAGTATAAAGAAAAGAAAAATGGACCCTTGAACAACCCTAACAGAAAAGTACTATAGTATACGAGAGTTAACTATAGAAAATTAAAGTTTTTTTTTTATCTAGTTGATCAAAGTATTTTTACTATGTATTCAAATTGTCATTTTGTTTGTAATTCCTACAAGCAATTATCTTAAATTGAAAAGAAATATTACTTGTATATTTACATATTATTTAAAAGAAATACTTCCCTGGTAATATGTTAAGAAATATTTAGTCTTTAAACCTTGATTGATTGTTTGTTGTTTAATGTCCCTCTCAAGAATTTTTTCACTCATATGGAGACGCCACCACTTAACGATGGAGGGCTACAAATTCTGACCTATACTCGGCACTTACGGCCATTGAACAGTGAGGGCTCTTTTTCCTGCCAGCACCTACTGCGACACGGGACCTCGGTTTATACGGTCTTCATGTCCCACAGTGGGATTTGAACCCGCGACGTAAATTTCAACTCCTTACTTCGCGACTCTTGAGCAAACGGTCTAATCA